GCGCGCGAGCCGGACCGGGCAGGATACACCGCCCTGGTGAGTCCGCGGGGTCCACGTGTTCGGCCCCTGGCAAGCCAGGGCACTTCGGGGGATGCACCAAGGGCCCTGCAGGGGGCGCTGGGCTGGAGTGACCACTGGCCAGTGGCCCGAGCTCCCTGGGTAGCAGGCTGACGTGACACGAGTTTGCTGGGTCTCAGCTCCTTGTGGGCAGATGCCAGGAGCTGCGCTCAGGATGGTCCAGGGCAGCCTCAGCCTGAGCAGAGGTGCCAGAGTAACACTGCCTTGGAGTCGGCCAGGCAGGGGTGAGAGCGTGTGGGGGGCGGTATTTCAGGGGTGGGCACCAGTGCTAGACTTGGCCCCTGTCACCGACTCCCCCAGCTGGCGCCGACTCCCCCAGCTGGCGCCGACTCCCCCAGCTGGCGCCGGAGGGGCATGCTGCAGGAGGGTTTCCAGGAGTATGTGCCTATGGTGCCAGCTAGCTGCATTCAGAAGGAGGGTGGGGCAGGACTCAGTGTCCTGTGACCTCCACCCCATGGGAGACTGGCGCTGTGTCCCGGGGAGAGCAACGTGTGGCCGGGCAGCAGGGATCGGCCCGGCGGGGTGGCGCATGCTGCTTCCCTGCCTGATGGAGGCTAGTTCCTCCTACTCTGCAGGCAGCAGTTCCTATCCTGGAAGCTGTGGGCAAGGGGTGGGTTTTGGAGACTGCCCTGTCCTGCCCCCCAGCTGGGCCCTGGGTCTCTCCTCTCTCCCTCCCAGCCCCGGTGCTCATGGGAGAGGGCTGCTCTGCTCCTCTTGGGCACAGAGGGCCAGTGTTACCCCGGGCAGGAGCCGGAATTTGGACTGGGGACAGGAGAGCTGTGGTGCTAAACGCCATCGCTTGGCTGGGAGATTCCATGGAGGTTCTTAGCCAGATCCCCTGGAAACTGGCTCTATGGGCTAGGCTTGATCATGGCGTCCCTCCCCAGAGCCAGCTGCACATCAGTGCAGACTGAGCCACCCTTGTGCTGGGTGCGCTGGGTGCTTTGCAGTGCCGGGGGCAGGGGCTGTGCACGCAGAGCAGCTCCTGATACGCCCTCTCTGCTGCGTTCCACAGCACTACGCCAGCCGCAATGGGCACAGCGCCGTCTGCCAGTTCCTACTGCAGAGCGGGGCGCAGTGCAACGCCCAGACCCACGGCGGGGCCACCGCCCTGCACCGCGCCAGCTATGGGGGCCACCTGGATGTGGTCAGGCTGCTGCTGGCCCAGGGAGCCGACCCCACCATCACGGATGATGAGGACATGACAAGCTTACATAAGGTGCGGGGCTGGGCCCCTCCCCCAGCTGGCGGGGGGCTCCCAGTGCGCACCACTGCCCCCTGCAGGCAAACCTGCCCCAGCAGGCCTGGTTCGCCCTCTACCAGCTGGAGCAGACAGCGCTTCTCCAGGGCTGCAGCCGGGAAAGGTCTGTTCCAGCTCCTGTTTGCAGCACAGCAGGTCTGTGCCCTGGCCCCTGGCCCACAGTGGCTCTGCTGGAGGCTGTGGGATTTGGAGACGCTGGCCTGCACTGCCCCCCTGCTGGGCCCTGGGTCTCTCCCCTCTCCTCCATGAGCAGCCAGGTCTAGCGAATGCTCCCCTAGGGCCTGCACTACCCCTGCCCCCCTGGAGTCCCCACCCAGCCTCACTCCTGCTCTCCCTTTGCAGGCTGCCGAGAAGGGGCACCTGGAGCTCTGTGAGCTGCTGCTGCAGCACAGCCCCAGCCTGAAGGGCCTTCGGGACAGGAAGGCCAGGAGAGCATGTGACCTGGTCCCCAGCAGCGGCGCCTTGCGGGACCTTCTGGAAACAGCCAGGCCATAGCATGCGGCAGGGCGGCACTGTCCGGGGTGTCTCCCCCTGGGCAGCCATCGTGCCCCCAGGCTCCGAGCCTGCTGTGGTCTGACTGGAGGTCTCTCCCAAGCCGGCTCCGGGCGGCTGCTCCGAGGAATGTGCTGCAGCGGCAGGAGAGGGGGACTGGCGGGGGGAAGCCGTGTCCAGGGCCAGGCCCTGCCGAGATAACAGGGACTCCAAGAGCCACAGAAGCTCCTTTGCTCCCAGCCTGCGCTGTGCCACCAAGTCTGGTGGGAAACTGAGGCAGCCAGACTCTCCCTTCCCAGCTACGAGAGGCAGGTTGGCACCATGGACCCCACCCCGGCAGGGGCTGCAGGCCCACTCCCCTGAAGGAGTCTGGCTAGGGTGAAGGCCAGCAACCTGCTCCCTGCCCAGAGCAGATGGCAGCCTCTCTTAGGAGGACAAAGTCTGTGGCTCCTCTGCCCTGAGGAGAGGGGAGGGGGCTGGGATAGGGTGTCTCCCTCTGCCGCTATTTCAGGCCTCGCACTAGGCCTGTAACCGGAGCCCCCAGGATCTGGTGACAGGATGTTGGGCTTCAGAACCGTTAACTCTTCCCCACCTGGGCTGGTGGCAGTGTGCAGAGTCCCAGCTATGGGGGCTGCTGTGGGGCGTGTCTGCCCTCTGCTGTGGAGCGGGGTTAGTGCCCATCCCAACCCTATTCCATCGGAAAGCAGGTTGGGGGTGAAGTCCTACAAATGTACCTCCACTTGCCAAAGAGGGAGCGGAGCAAAGGGGCACAGAACAAGCCCAGACCCCTCCCCCTCTACTGAATAGTGATTGACCCAGGCAGGGGGTGGCTTCTCTGTGCCCCCCCATACTCCATACTAAAGGGACTGGCTTTAACCATAGGCCCAAGGAGAGCTGCCTCCTGCTCCCAGTGCTAAGCAGAGTGGGAAGGGGAGGGCTCCCCCTTTGCCCCAGCAGGTCCAGCCCAGCCTCCAGGCTGAGCACTTTGGAGGCTGCAGGGTGGGTAAGGGGGGATCCTAGCAAGCATCACAAGCTGGGGGAAGGGGAGAGCGCCCCCTACTGGGCTCCCTGCCCTGTTCCCTGGAGCACAGTGTCCCTAGTGCTGCTCTGGGGCTAGGACTGACTATAGGACAGAGAGCCCCCTGCTGGGCTGTTTGCTCCCTGCCCTGCAGCACTGCGC